GAGGGCTTCTGGTGGGTCCAGCGGAGCGAGGCACCGCGCGGATCTGAGCGAGACCTCGCCGTCCTTTGGTGGGCTGCGATCTGCGAAACTGTCGCCACTCTCGAGGGCTTCTGGTGGGTCCAGCGGAGCGAGGCACCGCGCGGATCTGAGCGAGACCTCGCCGTCCTTTGGGGGGCTGCGATCTGCGAAACTGTCCCCACTTTCGAGGGCTTCTGGTGGTGGGTCCAGCGGGGCGAGGCACCGCGCGGATCTGAGCGAGACCTCGCCGTCCTTTGGGGGGCTGCGACCTGCGAAACTGTCGCCGCGTTCGAAGGCTTCTGGTGGTGGTCCAGCGGAGCGAGGCACCGCGCGGATTTGAGCGAGACCTCGCCGTCCTTTGGAAGGCTGCGATCTGCGAAACTGTCCCCACGTTCGAGGGCTTCTGGTGGTGGGTCCAGCGGAGCGAGGCACCGCGCGGATCTGAGCGAGACCTCGCCGTCCTTTGGGGGGCTGCGATCTGCGAAACTGTCCCCACTTTCGAGGGCTTCTGGGTCCAGCGGAGCGAGGCACCGCGCGGATCTGGGCAAAACCTCGCCGTCCTTTGGGAGGCTGCGATCTGCGAAACTGTCGCCACTCTCGATGGTTTCTGGTGGTGGGTCCAGCGGAGCGAGGCACCGCGCAGATCTGAGCGAGACCTCGCCGTCGTTTGGGGGGCTGCGACCTGCGAAACTGTCCCCACTTTCGAGGGCTTCTGGTGGGCCCAGCGGAGCGAGGCACCGCGCGGATCTGAGCGAGACCTCGCCGTCCTTTGGGGGGCTGCGACCTGCGAAACTGTCGCCGCGTTCGAAGGCTTCTGGTGGTGGGTCCAGCGGAGCGAGGCACCGCGCGGATTTGAGCGAGACCTCGCCGTCCTTTGGAAGGCTGCGATCTGCGAAACTGTCCCCACGTTCGAGGGCTTCTGGTGGTGGGTCCAGCGGAGCGGGGCACCGCGCGGATCTGAGCGAGACCTCGCCGTCCTTTGGTGGGCTGCGATCTGCGAAACTGTCCCCACTTTCGAGGGCTTCTGGGTCCAGCGGAGCGGGGCACCGCGCGGATCTGAGCGAGACCTCGCCGTCCTTCGGTGGGGCTGCGATCTGCGAAACTGTCGCCGCTTTCGAGGGCTTCTGGTGGTGGGCCCAGCGGAGCGAGGCACCGCGCGGATCTGAGCGAGACCTCGCCGTCCTTTGGGGGGCTGCGACCTGCGAAACTGTCGCCACTTTCGAAGGCTTCTGGTGGTGGGTCCAGCGGAGCGAGGCACCGCGCGGATCTGAGCGAGACCTCGCCGTCCTTTGGTGGGCTGCGATCTGCGAAACTGTCCCCACTTTCGAGGGCTTCTGGTGGGTCCAGCGGAGCGAGGCACCGCGCGGATCTGAGCGAGACCTCGCCGTCCTTTGGTGGGCTGCGATCTGCGAAACTGTCGCCACTTTCGAGGGCTCCTTGTGGGCCCAACGGAGTGAAGCACGGTGCAGATCTGAGCGGGACCTCGCCGTCCCCAGGGGGCTGCGATCTGCGAAACCGTCGCCACTTTCGAAGGCTGGTGGCTGGTCCAGCGGAGTGAGGCGCCACGCAGCTCTGAGCGGGACCTCGCCATCCCTGGGGGGGCTGCGAGCCTCACGAATGCCGCTCGCAGAACTATATGCGCCCATGTCACGTCATCACCTCTGTATAACGTGTCCCAAGCTAATCGTGCCCAGCATTGCGGAGGGGTTGGGTACGTCGCCAAGGTAATGTTCCCTGGTTGGGGCCCGTTTAGTTGCCGTGCCGATCCTCAGTTCCCCCTCCTCTAGGGAGCCCACAGAGGACGCACGCGCCCAACCACGTACATGAACACGGGTCCCCAGTCCGCGAGACCAGCCTCGCGATACGAACATTCGTGCAGCGCGCACTTCCGAAAACAGCGTGGATTCATGCACGCGCTGGTCGGAAGAAATAGGTAACAGCATGAAGTAGGAAGGCGGATAAAGTAGATTGGATTCAGGCCCTCCAAGAGAATCACGAAAGCACAGCAGAAGCAGATCGAGTCTTGAGGTAGGAAGGCGCTTGAAGCAGATTGGGATCTGGTAATCCACAGATGCCTACTGTCAACGACCAACGTGTATGTGTACGTCCTCATTTCGCTCCTGATCCTCGGACCCCCGCCTTCAGGAGGAGGCGGGAGGCGGCGGCCACTCTGTAGTAGCAGGAGGCCTGGAGGACCCAGCCCCCGAGTTCTAGTGGGACTTGCGCCCGGGCACAAAGCAGATCTGGCCGCGCCTCAGGGACATACTGCAGTCGACCCGTACCATAAGGACGCACGATAAGGATGCAAGGGCCTCGGGCGCCCAGGTAGAGGCTTTTTTCGAGCGGCCAACTGAAGTGGCGAAGGATGGACCGAGGAGGCAACGGTGCAAGGGCACCCTTGGGAATGTTGCCCATCCTTACTATGCGGGTTGAGTGTACCAGGGGGGGGCGGATATCCTCGACAGTGGTGCGTCCGAACGCTCAGCAAAGATACCCGACGAGGGGGCAATGACTCGCCTGACGCACAAAATTATTAACAGGATCAGTCAGCATCAAGCCAGAAAATCGGGGGGACCTGCAATGCCCATCGACTCAGGCTGCATCGGCACGGAACGAAACCGGAATCGGATCGGATCGGGTGCGACAAATTGCACAACAGCGCCATACGAGCATCGGATCGTCGGACAGCCGGAACGGAATGGGATCGGGACAGCTGGAATCGAGATCGACTCTTGACGTGGACCCCGCAATGGCGGCCAACTCCCCCGACCCCCGAAATCAGATTTAATTCCTAACAGCGACGCCCTGGTCTCGACCCGTTCCCTAGGACTGTTTTTTCCTTCTGCGTCGTTATGTTGACGGTCCCGAGGCCCGTTACGGGCCCTCAGAGGCAAACCATAGCTAGAAACCTCCCGTCATGATTTTTTTCGGTGACGAGCCCGGGGAGAAAGTGAGAAGGAGAAGGCCTCCTCAGAAGGCTCGGAAGTCCCGGCCTTCTGAACAATGTTCTAAGCCTTCCCCGAAGACAGAACAAACTTCTCAGAACAAGCTTCCGAGAAGCCCCTCCGCCTTCTGAGCAGACCTTCTCCTTCTCATTTCCCCCCCTCGCTCGCCGCCGATTTTTCCATGTGCGAAGGTCGGGGAGACGTAAGACTCGGGTACGGGGGACTCGGGTTGGCCCGACGGGGGGCCATCATCAAAATTCCAGAGGCCGAACAATGGCAAGAAACCTCCCGTCGTGACATTTTTCAGTGCGCGAATCGAGGCCTCCTAGAAGGGGTCGGAGCAGATGGGGTCGGAGGATCGCTCCGCATTCAAGTGCGCCTGTGCTGCCGGCCCAGGCTTTCAGGCGGGCCACGCCTCCGAGGAGCATATCGCCGTCCACGACGACGCGTTGCGCCTCTTCTGGCATCCCCGTCGACGGGGAGCAGGGGGCATCCTCCTCATCGTCCTCGCCTTCCTCTCAGCGGCCTGGAGCGACAACGGCCCACATGCAGCGCATGATGACCGCCTGCCAGCCCTCGCTTTCGTCGCGGGCGACGCGCTCTGGTTTCTCGCCCTCGGGGTCATCGTATTCATGGAGTCTCTGAGGATGGTGTGGGCAGCTGCCGAGGGCCTTCTCGCCAACGGCCGTGCTGCGGCTGCAAGCTGTGAGAGGCGCCGCTGCTGGACTTGTCTTCGGGCGTATGGCAGGGCAGCCGCGTCGCAGCCACCGTGGGTGCTATCGTGGGGGGCCTCCTCCACGCGTCTGTGCCCGCAGCAGCGGCCGCTCCAGCAGCCCCAGCCGCCTGGGCCGCTCGCTGGAATGCTCTTGACTTTGACGCGACGCTCGGGTATCCGGGCGAAGGCCCTGCCGAGGCAGCAAGAGGAAGGGTAGGAGGAAGAGGTGGAGGAGGAGGCGACGCGGCACCCAGAGCACCAGGAGAGCAGGAGCCCGAGGATCAGGATGCGCAGGAACGCCGGCTTCGCCGCCGCAACGGCATGGACGTGCGCATGGAGGAGGCCCCCAGCCTTGGCCGGGACGATGCCGCGGCAGACGCTGAGGCAGACCAGCTGGCAGAGGTCGTGGGCGCGATGGAGATCGACCAGCAGGGAGGAGGAGCAGGAGGCCGAGGTGGCGGAGGAAGAGGAGGACGAGGTGGTGCCCGCTGCTGCCGTTGGATCGTGTCGGTGCAGCCCCACGGGTCGCGACGGCCAGCCTTCCTGGTGTGCCACGAGACGCTCGACGGCGGCACGGCGCGAGTGGCCAGGGCAGCCGACCATGCCCGACGGCGCTACTTCCGTCACTGGGAGTGCGCCCTGGAGGACATTCGCCGCGGGGATCAGCTAGCCTCCGAGGGGGACCCGGCGGTGACCCAGCCCGCGCTGCAGACACAACAGTCCGCCGGCAGACCTGCAGCTGACGCTGAGGAGCGCCCTGGAGGCGCAAACGAAGAAGGCGGCGGGGGAGCAGTCAGAGGAAGAGGAGGAGCAGGAGGAGGAGGAGGGGCAGCACCAGCAGGAGCAGCACCATCAGGAGCAGCACCATCAGGAGAAGAAGGAGGAGCAGCAGCAGGTGCCGATGGGGGGCAGCGCAGGCACTCCCAGGACGCGGTGTCGCCCTCAACGTCGGCGTGGCCGTGCCCGGACTTGAGCTGGTTCGACACTCAGGGCGCAGACTCTTTGCTCCAGAGGCCAATCTCGTGTATTCCCCGCGTGCCCGAGAGCCTCCAGGCGCAATACCGGGCTGCCAAGCTGGTCCTCCTCGAAAGGTTGGCGGAGGCAGGGACGGCTGCCGAGCGGCTTCGCGCGTGGAAGGCGCTGCTGATGCTGGATCGGTTCCTTCTGTGGAAAGGCTTCCAGAGAGGAGGAAAAGGCAGAGGAGGAATACGGCAAAACGCAAGCGAGCGCGCCATCGCCGAGAGGCTTGCCTTGTTCTGGGCCGGCCAGTGGGCGGCCTTGGCTCGACCGGCGCACGATGCCATTCGACCGGCGCGCCGGAGGAGAGGGCCCGTGTCGCCCGAGCGCATTCGGGAACTCGTGGATGATGGTGCGTGGCGCCGGCTCTTGGCAGCACTGCGCGGCGGCGCCCCCATGCTGGACTCCGCGGACGTCGCCGATGACCTCCGCCGCCTCCTCCCCGAGGAGAGCACCGCCGACATCGTCGCGAGGGTCGCCTCCGCGGTAGACATACCCGACGACGACTTCCAGAAGGCAGTGGCGCAAGAGCTGCGCGAAGCCAGCCCCCACGCAGCAGCCGGGCGAGACGGAAGCCGGGCGACGCACTGGCAGGTAGGTTCAGGAGACGAGCACTTTGAGCGCCTGCTTGCCACCGCCTTGAAACACTGGCTCGACGGGGAGGCCCCCGAGGAACTAGACGACTTCTTCTCGCGTCAGACCCTGTTCGTGTTGCAGAAGAACAATGGCGGCGTTCGGCCTATCGCAGTCGGCGCTTTCCTCGGGAGGCTGGCATTACGAGCCCTACTCCGGTGCAAGCGGCAGGAGGTTCAGGACGCTGTCAGCTCCATGCAGTTCGCGCTCGGGCGCGCTGGCGGCGCCGACGCGGCGTTCAAGGCGCTCAGCTTGGCCGCGGCTTCCGGTAACTCCACGGCCGTTCTCAGCTTGGACATCAAGAACGCCTACGGCACAGTCCGCCGGAGGGCCGCTCAGGAGGCCGTTCGGGCTCGCGCGCCTTGGATGAGCCCCTTGGTTGACCGCCTGCTCACCGCCACGACCCGGAACGCCTACGACACAGCCGACGGCGACACGATCTGGGTCGAGCAGGGCACTGGCGTGCCGCAAGGGTGCCCGCTCAGCACGTTCCTCTTCTGCGTGTCCTTGGCCGGTGTGTTGGAAGACACCAGAGAGGTGCTTCACCAGCGAGGCCTCGGGACGAGTCTCGTGGCGTACGCGGACGACCTGTACATCGTGGAGCCAGCTGCCAACCTCGCGGCCTCGTACGACGCGCTGGCTGCGGAGCTCGCGCGGGTGGGCTTGCAGTTCGCGCCGGAGAAGACGAAAGTTTGGTTGGCTTCACCCGAGGCAGCGCAAACTCTCCCAGCGACGCTGCGTCACGCCGCGGTGCCCGACCTCCCCGTGTTAGGGTGCCCTCTCTACCACCACGACCGCGAGGACGACTTGGCTGCAGGGTTCGGCAACTCCGAACAGGGAATGCAGAAAGCGGCGGCGCTGGTGCGCACGACGGCGGCCACGCTCAAGGACGCCCGAAAGCGCGGGCTCGGCTGCCAGGTCGCGGGCGCCATTCTGCGGTACGTCACAATCGGGGCCCCTCAGCACCTGCTCCGCTCGCGCCTCTGGAGCGAACCGGCGCTCGCGGCCTACGACAGCGCCGTGGCGGACGCGTGGGCCGAGCTGATCGGCGTCAACCTGACCCCGGAGCAGATCGCCATCGGCAACTTGCCGCTTCGCGACGGCGGCGCTGCCTTCGGCTTGCCCACGCCGCGGGCGTCTGCTGCCTTCCTCGCGGGATGGCGCCACCACCTGTGGCGGCAGTGCGCCGGGGCTCCCTTGTACACAGAACAGGGACTGCGCGCAGCTTTCCCCGGGCTTGCGGCGGAGCTGGACAAGGCGAGAGCTGACCTGACGGCCCGGGCGCCCGCGCTGGCCGGCGACGTGAAATTCGACTTCACCACCGAGCCCCACAAGCGCATTCAGAGGATGATCATGGACGCCGTGAACTCCCGGGCGCGCGAGTCTGTCCTCGCCAGTGTCCCGGAACCGTACCGGGCGCGCCTGCGGCAAGCAGGCGGCGCGGGGGCGGGCAGCTTCCTGTGCGTGCCCCAGCCCGGCAACCAGGCAATCGCAGACGGAGACTGGCGCATGGCGCTGCGCAGGCGCCTCCTGTGCACGGTCCAACAGATAGTCTTTCCAGCACAAGCGGAGACGCATTGCCACCACTCCGGCGCACGGGGTGCTTGCGGGGCGTAGCTGGATGGCCTTGAGGGTCTAGTGCACGCAGAGGGGTGCAAGATTGGCGGCGAGGTGGTCGGGGCCCACAACGAGATTCGCGACATCTTGTGGCGTTTCGTCAAGAGTCACATTGACCCTCGCGCGATACGCGAGCAGCGGCTCGAGAGCCTGCGGGCGCCGGCCCTGGCGGACGCAACGGCGACTGACGAGGCCGGGGATGTATCGTTGTGTTCAATTACGATGGCAGGCGCGTGGCCATTGACGTCGCCGTGGTAGGCGCCCGCGCTGACGCGCCCCGGATCCGCGCGGCAGCAAGCCGCGACGGCGCCGCTGCAGCGGAGGAGGAGAGGGCCAAGCGGCGACGCTACGCAGGGCTTGACATCGCCCCGTGCGTGCTGGAGCTGGGGGGCCGCCCAGGCGAGAGCGCGCAGGCGACCGTACGCATGCTGGCCGTGATGGCAGGCGGCGAGTCGCGCGCCTCTGCGCTGGCGGCCGGCCTGTGGCAGCAGGTCAGCATGGCCGTGCAGGCCACGGTCGCCTGGCGCATAGCGAGTGCCTACGTGCGTCAGGACTCGCTCTCCCTGGCAGGGTCCAGGTGAGGCCCAGCGGCGGAGGCGAACGGCCCGAGGGCGGAGAGCAGCGAGGAGGAGAACGAGGGGCAGCAGTAGCTGAAGGCGGATGATTAGGAGGAGGAGAAGGAGGAGGAGGAGGAGGAGGAGGAGGAGGAGGAGGGAGGAGGAGGAGGAGAGGAGGAGGAGGGAGGAGGGAGGAGGAGGGAGGAGGATGAGGAGGAGGAGGAGGAGGAGGAGCCGCGGCCTGGGCGTCGCCACGGCCAGGGGGAGGGGGATTCAGACCCCTGTCGTCGCACCCCCTGCGACCGAGCGCCCGGGCTGCGGCAGAGCCGGAGCCGGCGCCGCCCAGAACTAGCGATGGCGCAGGAAAAGGTTGAGGAGAAGGAGGAGGAGGCAGAGAACAAACCCTGAGGAAGCGCAACAGGAAGAGACTGTGCAGGGGAGAAGGAGTAGGAGGAAGAGGAGGAGGAGGAGAAGAGGAGGAGGAGGAGGAGGAGGAGGAGGAGGAGGAAGCGGCGGCGGCGGCCCTCGACCGAGCCGTGCGACGGGCCCGGCGGCGCGTAGCCGCGCCCGCCGCGCACCCGCCGGGCCGGCCGCGCGGGGCCGCGGCGCGGGCGCCCGAGACGCCCCGGAGCCTCCCTCGGAATAGGGGGCTCCGGGGCCGTGCAGCAGCAGGATCAGGAGCAGGAGCGGGAGCGGGAGCAGGAGCAGGA